ACAGAAGTGACAGAGAGAAAGTTACCTGGCTAGGGCTGCATGGGGAAACAACACTTTGCTTCTGCTTAATCAGAGCTTTCTGAGTAAATTAGTGGTACCTGTTAAATGATATTTGCTTGGTAAATGTCTCAGCAGAGGGTCTGGCAGGTGGCGTGGTGGTTAAGGGCATTGGACTTCCATAGGGCAAACTGTGGTTCTAGCCCCAGGCCTGGCAGCTTGCTTTCTTGTCCCCCTCCCCATCACTCTGTCCCTTTATGGTCTAAATAAATAAAGTTAAATTAAGATAATTTTTAAAAATATATAATTAGATCTTTATTGTAAAATCTGAGCTGCTAAATTAGCGTTTTCCACCAACTCTGGGAGCAGAAACCTTCACAGGCTTTACAATCTTTTGCTTAGGTGCTGCCTTTGTGGGAGCCTTAGCAGCAGCCATTGCTGTCTTTTTAGATGCTTGCTTAGCCTTTCTTGCTTCCTTGGCAGCCCTGATAGCATTTAACTTTATTTATTTATTTTAGTTTGACCAGAGAGGGATGGGGGAGAGAGAGAGAGAGAGAGAGAAAGGAAGCCACCAGGTCTGGGACTTGAACCGTGGTCAGCCATGTGGGAGATCAGTGCCCTTAACCACCATGCCACCTGCCAGCCCCTCTGCTGAGACATTTACCAAGCAAACATCGTTTAACAGGTACCAGTAATTTACTCAGAAAGCTCTGATTAAGCAGAAGCTCCAAAGTGTTGTTTCTTCCATGCAGCTCTGTCTCTCTCTCTGGTCAAATTTAATAAATATATAAAGTTAAATAATGAAAATAATTCTTAAAAAAAAAAAAGTCTCAGCAGATATAGAATGGCTCCTTTCCAGTGTACATCCCCAAACCAGCTAATCTCTTTCAAAGATGATAAACTCCAGAGCCTCTTAAGTTTCCAAACCTGAGTGACGGGGCCATGCAGGCAACACAAGCTGGTAAGGATGCTGCCTCCCATTCTAAGGCAAGGCCTGGACTGGGAAGAAACTGAGGCAAGGCCCAGTTTACGAGCTCTCCCTTGTGTCCTTGAACTGGCCGGTATTCAATTTCTCTGCCGTGAGTTTTACTGTTATTAC